ACAGAAGCAGACATAGAAAAAGAAGCATAGATACAAACGGGTCCATATTTTGACAGTGAAGGACGGAGGAGACGTACGTGGACGGTGATGTGCGGAGGAGTAGCGGTGGATGTGTAACAGTTTAATTGATCAATGAAACGACGTGTGAGCGGGGTGGTTGGTGACGGAGGATGTGGAATCGGGGTTAGAGATCTACTTTCACTGATTTATTGCTGGTTAAAACGGTTTTGTGTTCATACGCAGCAATGCATTCTGGGAAATAAAAGGAAACCATCCTCATCTGAAGGTCATGCAGCTGCATTTTGAGTTTCACCAAAAGTGAATCTGTTGGCAGCTTGATTGGCTGAAAATAAAAGGGGTTGGGATTTTCCTCTCCTCTAAGCAGTTAAGGGCCCCTCTTCATCCTCAGATTCCTTTAACACTTTTGTCTTTATTGCTCATCTGTCAGTAACTGATTTAGAAAATAACCGTCTGATTGCATCATCCAGTTGAAAGGAGGTGTAGGAAATAAAGCTCACTTCAGACCAAAGCAAATGTTACTGTCTGGAAGCTGCTAACATAATCGAGGTGCATCGAACATTTCTGACATGAAACTCCTTTCATTAGAGTTCCTCTTCTGGTTTTTTGACTCCTTTTTATGTGAAACATTTCCATAAAAATGTTGAACGATCCACTTACATCTTTGTGTAGGTGTAAGTAAGCTGTCATTGTCTCACGCTGTTAAACGATGTCTGTTTAGGCTGCAGATCCACCAGGACCTGAGGGAGGAGCTGGCGAAGGTGAAGACCCTGGAGGGTTTAGCCCACATAAGCTCACAGCTGAAGCGCCGCTGCCAGGTACGGCACCATAAAGAAGGAAAGCTCCTAATTTCTGGAGGTTAAAAAGCCTCACATTCATTAGTAAGTCCCGTTGGTCCTGGATCCGTTGTCATGGAAATATAACGGGTCACACGGAAACCATTCCCTTCTACTTCACTGTCACATTGAAAAATACGATCTAAATAAGTCATTTATTCTTAAAATAAGTGCAGATTTTTTTAATTGATGAGGTAAGTGAGACACTTTACCAATAGAACAAGATGATTTACATTTAAAATAATAAAAAATTGTATTGTCTTATTTCAAGTGCTTATTAGCTAATTATCTTATTTTAAGAGTAAAAAAAACTAATTCCATTAAAGGAATAGTACACCCAAAACATGATTAGCCTTCATTTTCTACTCCCCCCCCCATGCTGAACAACACTCTGGAGTACTTTTTTGATATCTCAAATGCATCTGGAGATCTGGGAGGCTTCTTGCTGTCTGCT